ATAAAAAAAAGAATTTGTCTAGCAAAAGCACTTGACAAAACTTAGCTTTTTCAAAGATATCCCTAGTATTTGTGAGCAACTTGTCTCGAATCCTGTACTACTTGATTAAAACTTGTCGATTGGGAGGAATCTAGAAAATTTAATTTTGATGTTTTTGCTGTGATATTGTTCTTGCTTAGGAAATTTTGTTTGATTACAGCTATCATCGGCACTTGAAACGACAGAAGAGGAAAAAGCTTATCAAGGAATTTGATGAACTAATGGTAAAGGATCCGGATGCGGCCAAAGAAAAACTCGAAGAAATTGATCGACAACGGATCTTAGTATGATTTCAGAAATTTGATAAGCCTAAAAGCCCAGCATAGTTGAGTCTGGTCAGTGCTACTGCTAGACATAGGATCTTTACTTTAATTGGTACCTCTGTACATTCGAAGAATTCGTTTGGGGGCAACCAGCAAAAAAAGGGAAGGAAAGGATAGAATTGGATGTGGACCGTAAAATTGGACTTATAGCAGTGTTAATTTTCCTTGGTCTTTTTGAAACTGCTAGAAAATTTCTTTCTTTAAAAAAAATTTGAATAAAATTCGAGAACTTTCGGTCGTTTTTTTAAAAAAACATGAAAATTTAAAAATTGCCCGTTCTGCAAGGTAAAAGTAATCATTATGCCTGATTTATATCCTTCCCATGTGATTTCATCGTAATGTTGAGAATGTTGTTTTATAGGAACGAGCAACCCTGAAACATCGAAATGGTAGCAAACGCATCCAACAATTGGCCCGATATGCAACTAAAGATAGCGGATTTAAGAAGACTTACGAAGAGCAAATAAGGTTTGGAAGAGAACTGAAAGAAAAGCATGGCCGTGAGAAGGGCTCGGATACTTCTGATGATGATACTGCAGCTGCAACGAAACTATCCGCTTCTGAGATTCTTCACGTGAGGAATATTGCGTTATTTATCTACCAGTGCAATTAACAGCATCGGAGTTATTTACAGCTTAGGGATGAAACACAGATACGATACCAGCTCAATGCACATACAGGCTTGCTTATTTGGAAGATCTAAGTGGCATTTCAGTTTTTCGTTAATTGTCAAAATTTGATCGTATTCTCCACTGTGGACCAAAAGCCAAACAAACAGCATATGTTAACACATAAAAGACTTCAGGCCCCCGTCCTGTTCCAATTTCCTTGCCAAAAATATTCATTGTTTGTATCCTCAAAATTTCTGAAACACTTATTTGACAAACGAATTAGAGTTAGAAAAGAAGCTGTGAGAGAGAGGCATTCAAAAGTAGCAAAACTGACAACGCATTCCGAAAAGTAGCACCTCGTTAACAGAGTTGTCGATGGCTCCCTCTTTCGAAAACTGTTTGTGCTTACAAGCAAGCTGAAGTATATGTTGAGCAAACTGGAACGTCTGCACGAACCTTCTCAGCAAAATCAAATTTAGAAAAATCGAAAAAGCCTAGGTGAAATCTGTTACAATACTTTTACAAAACATGCAGAACCGAAAAAAAATCATAACATTTCTTGAACATTTCAATTCCAAAGCGTTTGAACATTGCATTGTCTTGTCAGAGAAGTAATTCTAAAACTGCATGGAATAATTTTGATTATTCATTTTTTTTTTTTTTTGTCTAACTTTTCTCGTTTTAGCGAGCAGCCGAACAAGCCGGGCAAGAAGAATTGAAAACTCAGTCAACGAATCCGGAATTAAAAGCGAGGCTTCAGGAAATGAGGAAAATTGATCGGGAGATCCTTAAGAGTAGTGCCGAAGAAGCCGGAAAGGCTCTCGTCAAAGCAACTGCAGCAGCGCCAGATCCCATCGCCAGTCCTGACCTTAATTTGGTATGTTTTTTTTTCATGCTGGATTTTATTTCAAAAGGCGTACTTTGTTAAATCGAACAGCCGATCGGTGCCAACTCGAATTATGCTCAGAATCTGAGGGATTGGCATAGCAGCGCATGAAGTTGTGGGAGCATCCTAATAACATCAGTGAGGTGAATTTTCACGTAGACTGTCCGATCGGCCTTGTTGTTTTTGGTGCTTTACTGTACTTAAGTTGTTTTTACAGGCCCCATAACATGCCTCCATCTAAAGTTTGCTTATAAACAAACTGTTTCAGAAGAACAAAGAAAGCTCAGTGGAAGCTGAAGTAGCGCAAACATCGCTTCGCAGCGGTGAAGTCCAAAAACACCAGCGATCTCACCAGGTAATTCTACGTTTTCCCATTGTAGCTTAGGCATTGTTAGTGTTATTTTTTGTTTTACTTGACTGTATGCTTGTTTTTAAGAATCCAGAAGCGTTTTCATCAAGGAACGTTGAAAATTCAATAAATGTGGAATGGGGCGAGAAAAGTGCACTGTGGGAAACGGAACAAGCAAAAAGCGAACAGCAGGAACCGCAGGATTTGGTGAGAAGGGAAGTGGATCAATCAATGCATAATCAGAAAACGTCTAGAGATGTAAAGAGCATAGTTAAAGCAGAATCAAATAGTGCTGCCAAGAAAACAAAGAAAAAGGTTTAACTATTGATTGACTTTATTGTTATTAGTGAATTTTAACGGCGATATGTTGTCTGTACTGGTAGTTACCCTATTTTTATGCGTTTTTTGCATGTATGCAATGCAGAAAACGCATATTGACGACGGCTTGGCTCTGCGTGTGCGTCTATACCAATTTTTCATCTCAAGACCTGTAAAAGCTATGGGGCTGAAACTTTGGGAACTTGATCTGCATGCGCATACAGGTCCCTTTACGCCCGCCAAAGTTTTTGGAAGGCAAATTGCTAAATCGGGAACCAGAAAAGCCAGAAGGCTGAAGTTTTAAAGGGTTGCTTCTAATAGTTGTAGCATCCAGTCTCACTTCTTTTAGTTAAAGCATCTACCGAAAAAAACAGTGCTGTTAGCAACACAGGTCTGCGGGGAACTATGCGAAAAACCCATCTTCGCACCGGCAGTCGGGGCGCTGGCCATTTATTATTAATGTTAGCGTACATGAGACAGTGGAAGTAGCACTGCTGTCATACAAAACATCAAAGGTCCGATTTCGTCAATTTAATTGTTGAATTGGTGTTAGCGCATATCGGAGAGGTTAAATCTACTGGTTTGCTTCTAAAAAAGATCCTCGAAAGAGAAACCACTGAAAGCTTTGACGTTAGGTTGTTGTTATTGGTATTTGCTGCCATTCAGGCTACTTCCCAAGTGCCCCTGCTTTTCAGCGGCTTTTGCATTTTGAGAATATGACCGTCTTTAGATTTTTCGGTAGAAGTTCTTTGGCTAAGACTTTTTTTAGATCGTTTTGTTATAAGAAATATTTTTTGCAGAAAAAATCTATGGATGTTAAGCGCGCAAATATTGATCAACTTTTTGACAAAGCCGAGCAACAGCTTATCGAAACCACTTTAGAGGTCTGTTTGGTTTTTTTTCCCGCAGTGGTTGTTGTATTTGTATTATTCTACAATTTTTTCCCCTTTTTTTATTAGCTCTCATTTCATCTTTGGGCATCTTCCCCCTTTTTTGACCCATTCTTGATTACACTACCAGCAAGATGTCAGTTGGTAACAAGCCTACTCATGACCGGGGTTTTTTATGACAATCAGTAACATTTAGTGCCACAGCTAGGCCAAGACAAGACACTGAAGTATTGATTAAAATCATAATACTCCCAAAACAAACTCACTTTATAAGGTGGTTTCCAGTCGATGTTCATTTCTGTACTTTTTTTTTCTTGATTTTCCTTAAAAGAGTTGCTAAATGTATTAGTTTTCTCTTGTTACTTGGTTTTCTCTTGTTTAGGCCCTCTTCATTCCATTCACTTTAGGGTCCTCTGCATTCCCCTCTCATACGGAAATAATAATTTCCAGGTTGATATCCTGACTGTTAATTTGTTTTGTGTGTCTGATTTCTTTTGGATGTTTAGTCAGAAGTCAAAAGCTCCTTTATAGTAGTTTTCTGTAAGAGACACCAGACACTCAGAATGTTTTCGACTTTTTGTTTAATCAAAACGCTTTGATTAGCTGTAATTTATGGCCCGGTTCCCCAGTTTTTTAAATACGAACTTCTCCACATACTTTAACGGTACTGCACCGCCTGTCATTCTGTCTGCTGTCAGTAATCAGCACTTATATTGCGTAATAAAAATTTTAAGGAATCGAAACGTTTGAAAGCTGGCGAAAGGAAATTACGCGATCCTGACAGATCTGTCTCCACGCCCAGTTCTGTAAAGGATCCTAAAAAAAGTCAGAATTTTCATTTAAAAAAGTAGGAATTAAGAAAAAGTAAGATTTTTTTTTCATCTCTGTATGAATAAGCGATTCACAAAATTTAATTCGGTAAGTTTTTGTGATTTTCTATCACATTTTTAAGGGCAAAAAATTCATCAGGTTACTCTGCGTGATTTTTGGGATTGCATCGCAGCTGCTGATCGATGTAGCTGGGGACATTTCTGTTCGGGAACACCTGCATAAAGAATAAATTGTTTTTAACTTTTCGAATTTTAATTAACTTTATACAGGCGTTCTACGGCTTAGCGTGCAAAAATTTCACTACTTACATCCCGGTAATATCACTAGCTCGGGATACTGCGTTGTTTGCTTCGGCAGTCTTGGTATTCTTGGTGTACTGTTAAAATCCGAGAACTTTTAAGGGCAGCAACCTGATCTACGAAGGTACAAATCCCTTTCGATTTTCTGTAACATCCCTCATCTCTTCTTTACCTCTCTTTTCAGTTCAGATTCCACTTTTTTGAGGTTTACTACTGCTCCGAAAATTAAAGTTTTATCATTTTAGATGAAAACAAGAAAACAGCAGCTGTAGAAAAAGTGCCAGTGGATATTTCTATGGATCCGCAACATTTCTTGCAAGCCGAAACCAGTGCAATGCTGCAAGTTTCGGCTGATCTTGTCGAGAATTTTGACGACATTGCAGGTATGCTTCCTTCATCCATTTACGTAACAGGAGCTCTTTTTTTGAGGGATAGAATTTAACTTATTATTTTTTCCGAGATGAAAGCTTGATCTACGAGAATAAACGTTTTAATCCGGGCTCCTTGGTCAGCAAATCCTGAGCTTCCGTGTAATTCAGTCCTAATAAGATTACTGATACCTACCAGCTGCCAATACTAATTTGTCAAAAGTGGTTTCGTTTGCAAATTTCAAGTCACTATTTTTTGTTTGCAAAAATGTGCACCGATAAGTCTTAAAAATTTTCTTAATGCTAACCAAAATGAATAAAACTTGACGTGCTATATGCGTCAAATAAGAATTATATGAATATCGTACTATAGAATTAAAAAAGTACAAGATTAACGCACTAATTTATAGCCGCTTTTAAAGGGAGACCATAGAGCGAGGCTAAAAACATTAAAAAACAAAAAAAAGCGAGGTTCATCATAAAATGAGCAAAGATAACCTGTCTAGACAAATCGTTCCACACTTTCACATTGAATGTATTTTAGAAGAGGCGGATAGCCAGCAAACAATAATCGCCGAAGCATTCGAAGATGATGATGTGATCGGTGATTTCGAGGCGGAAAAGGAAGCTGTAGAAGCGGTTGAAGCACCGAAAGACATTGATTTAACGCTGCATGGATGGGGTTCATGGACCGGCCCAGGAATATCTAATAAGAAAAAAGACAAGTTGGTTTTTTTAATTTTTTTTACAACACGGAAGTACGCAGTGTTGTTGTTTATCAGAACGTAAGGGTTTGATGATCGCTTTAATGGGAGAGGGATACTGACCGTGGCCCGAAACTATCACTTGAGGAAGTCAATCTTTCTATTTTCTTTCAAAAAAAAAAAAAAGGAAAATGGAAGAATGATGCTGATAGGATTGGCATAAAAAATGAAAAAGCGTGTACAGGATTTTTTCAAGATGGGATAAGGGCGTTGTAAGAAATTTCTCTCCATTCATTTGCTCATCCAGTGAAAGCGAGTCTGCCAGATTTCTTCATGGGGGGAAGGAGGAGGGGGAGGAAGGGAAGGATGAGGGAGGAGGAAGCATTTGCTCTCAAGGCAAAATCTTTTTCGGAAATAGAATGAAGTTATACAAAAATTTTGTCTTCACCGCCACTGTAAATTTGGGAAGAGCATTATTCAAAATCGATTAGTGCACGAATGAAGAAAATAAGGAATTTGGCGATTTTCCTTCCAAATCATGCTCCTCCCATTACACATCCTTCATTCCTGAACTTCATGCTCCAGCTGATATTCGCCTCTTGCTCGGAATATAAGCACAATTTCTTTTCTCTCCTGCCACATCGTGAATGATTTAGGTTTGTAATAAAAGCAAAGAAAAAGCAACGAAAAGATGCGGGAAAGATGGGTCTGATTATATCGGAAAAACCGGACGCGTCGATTGAAAAAATTCAACTTCGATCGGTAAGGGCATCTGCTTTATGCATCCATTGAAATGAACGATTAGCCTGTTTTCTAGTAATATGTTACTGATATTTACATCTTGCAGTATACTGGTTAAAAGCTAGTTTTAACTTGTTTAGTATGTGAAAATTAAGACAAGTTCTCTGCATATCCTCTGTCATCCATCATAACTGGTTGTACTATTCGTTCATTCTTCCCATTCGTAATTTGTTACTGGCATGTGCCTAATAGTTAGAACCGTAATCAGTTTCTAAGCTCCCTTCTCCAAAGGTATCTTCTATCCTAGTACCTCCGTTTCTTCACAGAGAATGTAGTATAGAGGGATAGGTGGAGGGGGGCGGGGAGGGGGGAGCAGGCAGAATCAGTTTCAAGAGAAATTAGACGGCTGCAGCAATTATTAAACTAAAAAGTAACAGTTTAGGTTCCGTTTCCCTATACGACGGTTGAAGATTATGAGGCCGTAGTGCGGCAGCCTTTGGGAAAAGAATGGAATCCGCAACGAATTCATAAGAAACTTATTCAGCCGCACATTGTAACAAAGGTTTGCATTTTCTTCATTAGCATTACCACTTGTGCAGTGGAGATGAGGAGAGCTAACTTAGAATGCGTTGGCTGTGGTAAAACATTCAGCTTCATCTTGGTAACATAGAAGGACCCGCCCCGGAAGCACTAAATTTTTGCAAATTTTTAAGCTCATATGCAGAAAAAGTGGGATTGACAAAGGTCGATTGTATTTGTCAGAATGCCGGTGGTCATGGCGCAGCGGGAAGTAGCATTGTTTTCATGCAGAGTAAGTCAGTGTTTTCGCCAGTGTAACCACCAGTCCTACTATTTATTCATTAGTTTCGACGGCACTCTGACACTCATCCTAACCAGCGTGTGGTTGCTGTTGGCATTTGCTACCAGTCGGACTACTTTTCGAGTACCTCAGCCTTTCGTACGAAACGAATGATGAGGGGTTTTTAACTTTCTTTATTCGTCAAACTGCTTGAATCATCAACTGGAGGCTTTTTGGTTTCAGGCTGGTCGAATAATCAGACCGCTAGATCGAAGCGTCCTACAGACCGAAAAGGTGAATGGAGAGGAGGACTCCGAACCGGAAGAATTATTTTGAATGTTTTGTTAATATTTATTGAAGTAAGTAATATCAGTTTTATAAAAATACCGGTGGTTTTGCTCAAAATTCCACTTTGAGCACCACAGTGGGAAAGTATATGTAAAAAAGTAAGTATAAGCAGCTAAAGTGGGCTGTTACGCCCTGGAAAGTTAACATCGCCATCAGCTTGCTTCTAGGAAATTTCAAAAAAGAATGCCATCGACAGTCTTGTCTGCTAGTGGCGTGAAGCGTAAGCTAGAAGGAAGAACTCGAAGTTTTGTTTTTTGATAAAAACGACAGGGCGAGTAAAGGGAAGAGAAAGGGGGAGAGGGGAGAGGATGGGTGGGAGAGTATTGAGTCATCAACCCATATGGCTGTTACGTTGTTATCCAGAAATTTTGCTATATTTCGTTTGATATTGTAGATTTTCGGAAATAGTTTGTTAAAACTGAGAAAAAAAAGTGTTAAAAACGAGTAAAGTCATGTAAGGCTACAGTCTGACGACCAGTTCTGGATCGATGGCCTCCTGAAGCATTTGCCCATCAAAAGTCAGCAGCATCAGGGAACTGCCCATCAGAAGTCGGGAGATTTTGATGATGTGAAGCGAAATATGGATTGAAAGAAGAAGAGGGAGCAACAGGATATCTTAAGCAGGCGGATAACGCAAAAGATAGCAGCCGCGGCATTTCAGACAGAGTTTAATTAAAAATTATTTAACGATCTGATTAAATGCTAAGACATAATAATTACTGAGCAAAAAAAACATGGGAAAAATTATTCCCATGGTTTTTTAATGAATGCTTATTACCAAGAATACTAAAGTCCTTCCAATAATTAGCTTGTGGTTCCCGTACTAGTAATGGAGATGTTTGTAATGGTAATACATATAATATGAGAAAGTTTATTAAAAAGTTAACAAACGAACAGAATGTTTCGATCCATTAAGTCGCCATGTTGGGGATATTCCCATACACTAAGCACAACTACACCAACCAGTCCCCTGGTCGCGTATAAATTGACCAGAATTAGTTGGATTTTTTATGTTCGCTTTCCATTTCTAACTTTCAAAATTGAAATTTCGTGTTTAAAAGGCGTTTTACACAGCCCTAGATTGTTGGCATGTCTATCACTGCATAAGGATTGAAGTAGCCAAGGAAGCAAAGTTCAGAGATAACTCAGGTTTTTTAACAAGCTGCATCCTTTACAACAGTAAATCGAACGAATTTTATTATCATTCAAGTAAATAATCACATTTCATCCGAAAATATTGCTCAAATTGACAAGTCATGTCTAAGGCATCTTCTAGAATTTCTTGCACTTGTTTCTTCAAAAGCTGTTCTCGAAAATGAAGAAAGTAAGCAGACACTGAAGTTTTGGGCCTGTAAAATTGATCTCGACAAAAAAAGATGGATTTGAAATTTTCAGCAGAAAAGGGGTGGCTGGGGAAAATTCCTAGAATCGAGCTGGTTCAGAGCTGCTGGAGGTGGGCAGGGAAGAGAAGGGAGCAGGGTTCTGGCTAAAGTTTAAACTTGCTAATTTGACCGATACAAAGAAAAGATGGATTTGAAAATTTCGAATACTCCTGAGGCAGCTGAGAGAAATTCCTGGAATTGTACTGATTCAAAGCTGACGGGGGTGGGACGGGGTAGGCAGGGGGAGAAGGGGAAGGGGAGCGAATGGAATAGGATGTGGCTAAAAATACCTCAACTCTGTTTTTTAAGCTTGTAGTTTTTCATCATGTATGCTTATTAATAGTTGCCACTAGTGACAATGATAAGCGCCAGGCAGTGTTGTATGCGAGCAGATTTGGCAGTATATAAAGAGACTGGCCAGCCTATCGAATAACCCAGCAATCAAACTTCTCTTCCTGCTCCGGAACACGATTTTACCGCATTCTTTTTCTGTCTTCCTTTTCCTTCCCTTGCTTTCTCGCACAATACGCTTTTCCATTGTGCAAATTTCAAAGCACATATTGTCTACATCTTTTTAATGTCCGTCATGCGTTTCAATTACTCATTCAGACGAACTAAAATGTTGAAATTTTAGAAAATTAGTTCTTAGTGTTCCATTGTCATTCAGCTTCCCAATATTAGCTTGATAAGAGCCGGCTGCTCAACTTTCGTCGGTGATCGTGTTTCGCATCAGTTTGTTATTGCCTTAGGAGGGGGAGGGGGAGGGGGAACAACAGTTTTGCAGAGGTGAGCACAGCCCCTCCGGCTCAACATTTTAAAGACGTCGATGACACTGCGAAACTTTCGCAAGTTGACAGCCCTTCTATCTGTAATCTCGGACCCAACTGTACGTTACTATCGCCAATACAGTGGTACTGAAGAGTTGGGCATGGTCTTTTGGTTCAACACTTTGAGGACATCAATGATGCCGTGAATTTTTCGCCAACTGACAGCCCTTCTACATACAATTTTCGACTAAAAATTTCGGTGAATCTTCTAACATTTAAAAAAAAAAAA